AGGAGGTCTTAGAGTCTTAATTTCCTTTTATAACGGAAACTTCGGACTTCAAATTATCTTGAATTGTATTGAAGAATCTTGAAGGACGACATGGGGAGCAATAATATATGTCTTTTGTCTGCTATAACTTTTGAATTTGTTTCTATTTCCTCCCAACATTTTGAATTATGGAATCTACTTTATTAAAATTGTTTTAATAAAGTTTTTTGTCCATTTTTGAGTGTCGGTAAAGCGGGTAGGAATAACTTTTGTGGTGGCAAACACATTTGAAAGAGCACTCTTCTTGAGTCCTGAACTCAATAATTCCGATATTCATCTAAATAATTGGGTCCATGTATTCATTTTGAATTTCTTTGAGTTTCCTGCTCAATCAAATCATCAATATTGTCTAACCCAAAGCACATATCTTGGTTGCTTTGAGCATAGTCTATTGATTCTAATTGAGAGGAATCTTCATAATTTGATTTTGACTTATTTGAAGAAGCCTCAGCCAATGAAGCAATTTTTTCTGAATTCTTTCGGAGTTTTGCACCTATTGAACATGGCCATAAGTTTTGTTTTGTTGGCAAGAAAATCGGTGTATTTGTCCAGTTCTTTCTTTGATAACTTTGGAACACCAATATTTCTTTGTTCTTACAGCTTTAGGTTAACGATTTATTTCATAGAATTTTGACTATCACTTAACTTTGAAACTTCTGACTATTATTTTGACATTGAATTCGGAGCTTGCATTTTGAACAACTTGATAGTCCCAACCGAAAATTCACGAGACTTTAAAGTTATGAGCAAATTGAGATAAAAGATTTTTTTAAGGCTTTAACAATGATTTTGCCTCTTTTTTGAAGTATTCGAATCCCTGACGAGTAAGACTGGGTAAAATCGTCTTATCAAGTCCAAAATGTTCGAATCAATTTTGAAACCATTTTGAAAAATTTGTAACACGGGATTGGCTAAAAAGGATAAACCAGGAATGTGTTACTGGTCTAAAGTAAAAAGTATTGAACCAAACATCTTGATAATCAAAATAATTGAAATGAGATTCGAACAAGTCATCATAAGATAGACGCATTTTATTTTCATTCTATGGATTTTGCTCCCCAGTCTTTGTAAGACAATACCTTTTGAATTGAAATTTTTGAAAAATCAATATAATTTTTCTTTTGAGAATTTTGAGTACGATTTATTATGGTTGATCCTGATTTGATTAGGATAGTTTCATAATAAGCTCTAGTCTTTTTTATATGTCTTGGCATAAAATGGAAATGAGGAAATAAATTTTGAAGACATTCCTCGAGAAGAATATCTATGGATCCAAGAAGTTTCTATTTCAAAAACAGGAATTTGAATAGATTTGCTAAAGTAATGAAACGATGTTGAGGGGTTGATATCTAGTAGTTTTTCAGATCCAATTTGAACGGTCTTTTTGTAATTTGAGGGTTTGTTTTCTTCCAAGATCTTTTTACTTTGAAGTGTTTTTATAAATGGATTTTTTGAAACGAGCGATTTTTTGAGAATTAGAGGAACTTTGTCTTTCATTCTTTGAACTATGAAAAGAATTTTGAATGTAATATTTAATTGAAAGAAAGAGAATAGAAATTTTTTCTCTTAATTCTTCTTTGAAGAAGAATTCATAACTCTCAATTATTTTTTTAATTTTGCATTGCAGAAACTTTCTAGTTAAGAAAGTTTGGTTTACCTTGTAAATATAGAATTTTGAAATCAAAGCATGATATCTGGCTTGCCATCTTACGAAAATTTGTTTTGAAACAAGGTTTTTTACGTCTTTTTTGTAAAACGTCCTTTGATGCTTTGCAATCTGTTTTTAAAACAAATTCTTAATTGATTAAATCATTTTGAAATACATAAAACGATTGCTGAAATTTCTTTTTTGATGGTAGAATAATTTCTTTGAGGGCTAGTCCAAACACAATAATGAAATCTAACCAGCTGTTCTTGACTAGACTTGACATGTATTTGTTTCAAGACTCTACCAAAACTTATATTTGACTCATCAGTTTCTACAATAATAGAGACAGTGGGATCAAAGATTGATGGACAGAGTATACTTTTGATAGCATCTTTAACTTTTCGTACTGCTAAAGTATGCTCATTACTCCAAGGGACCATATTCTTTTGTAGTCTTTTGAAGAGGGGCGCATAGTATCCTCTCTTTAATAAAGCCAGACACAATTGACACATCCTAAGAATCTTTGCAGACTAGCGTTATCTAAGATTTAATCAGAAAATTTATTTGTGAAATCTAGATTTCTTTGAATATGAGTAATGGTTCCTAAATGATTGTTATGACCTAGGGACCTAATGCTTGTGTGACAAATAATAACTTTCTTAGTAGAGACTGCTGAACCATTATTCTTAATGATGTGAATAAATGTATTGATATGCTTGAAATGTTGTTCTATACTTTCTGATGATATAAGAACATCTTCAATATAAACAATTATGAAGTTTTGAAAATGTCATTCATTCGAAATTCTAAAGGAGCATTTTTTAGGCCAAACGGCATAAAATTCTATTTTTATTGACCGAAAGGAACATTAAATGCAATTTTATACTTGTCTTCTTTAATTTGAATTTGCCGGAATCCCGACTTCATATCAAATTTTGAGAAAATGACAGCTTTGAATAACTTGTTTCATAGATCTTTCTTTTGAGGCAATGGATATCTAATTCATTGAAGAACTTTCTTGAGAGGCTTATAATTGATAACCAAACGAGGAGTACCTCGTTCAATTTCAGCAGAATTATTGACATAAAATGCTAAACAGCTCCAAGGAGAGACTTACTTGGACGGATTAGTCATTTACTATTTCATAGATAGATTTTTTATCTACCTTTAAAATATTCCAGTTTTGAAGTTTTTGTATAGGAATAGTTTATTCCAAATTTTTTATAACATAATTTTGAGTAAAATCAAATTTTCCTATTTCATATATATAACTCTTGTCTACCTTTAGAATAGTCCAATTTTTAAGTTTTTGTTCAATTTGAGCAATTTGAAGTTCATAAGAATTGAAATCTAATACAGATGCATGATCTTGACTTAATTCTTCTTCATCATTTTGAAAAGTGTGTGAAAAATTTCTTCATTTCAAAAAGTTTGTGTTCTCTAACTTCAATCATTTTCTATCACTCTCGAGCTATTCCCTGTACCTGAGCCAATTTTGGTATTGGAGTCATAGGTTATCTAGAGTGAGGTTATAGTGTCTTACTGTTATAGGTACCGTGTCAAGGGAGAAATTGTTGTTAGCCTGGATGTCTATTGAATAGCGTTGGTCAGCCGTAAAGCTGGGGTAGGCATTGGTGGTTCCATTGTAGGCTTGGTGAAGCGTACTGTGTCTACAGTGGTATGTTACTGTAATTTCATTTTATTCAATTATGTCTTTAATGTTTGAAAAGGTGTAATTTGTATCATGTATTGATAGTGATTTACTACTACAAAATTTAATGTTTTCTACAGAATATTTTTAAAGTTAAAAGTATTTCATGTTAAATTTCCCTTTTACAGAGGAGCACTTATGGATGATGCAATGATATTGCCTTGTGGACATTCCTTTGGTAGCGGCGGAATGCAACAAATATCTAGAATGGTAATTCTTGAAGAATCTCATATTGTTACGCATATGAAGTGAATCAATTCTTACGGCGATCTGTGTAATGCTAATCAGTACTAGCAATCATTTGTTCATGTATGTATAGCAACATGAGTTAAATCATTGGTTTTGGCCAAACAAAAGCCTTTGTGACCCGATGATATTCACGAACTGCTGTAGGACGTGAAATACTGTGTTACTCTTATTGGGATTAATGCAATATGTTAATTGATGATAAAAGCAGAATTTTTAAATTTCTCTTATTAAAAAGAATTTTTAAATTTCTGATGCTTCAGGATAGGTTTAATTGAGTGACGTTGCAAGCATTTATGGAGTAACAAGAGAACACCTCAGCGTCCAACGAGCTATTGTTACCACACAGTGCTTGAATGGATGGTAATCCACTTTCTAAATACAGTCCCCCATTTTTCAAAGCTTTTGCCGTTTGTCTAGAACAATTTTACTGATAGTCTAAGTAATAGCACATGGTTGTGAACTTTACATCTAATGAAGCGCTATAGGGCGAGAAGGAAAATAATGAGCAAGAAATAGATAAAGTAACCAGGATACCCTTGTTTTTTATTGGATTCTTCTTTTTCCAATTCTTGTATTCCTTGTTTTCTCCTTGATTTTCTGAACATTTATATAACTCATTCTGCTTCGCCACAGGTATGTGGTAAAGACATTGGACAACGCAGAGAGCGTGAAACTGCAGTATCGCTCGTGGCAGATGCTTCATCTTCCAACTTGTTGCCCATTAAGAAGATGATGATGCCCAACTGGTTGTGGAATTGTATTTAGATAGCAATCACAGTTGCTTAGTCATACAGTGTTCCAAATATACTTAATTTAACCTAACTCCAGAATAAACAGCTTTTTGATTTTTCCTGTTCTCCGCCCTTACACGTGAACGCGGTCTTCAGTTGATATTGTAGATACCTTGTCAATCATCCTCTTAACAAGGGATGTAGGAGTCCTATAACAATTCTTGTAAAATAGTAGGCTTTTGCTTTTTACCCTGATTATGTTCAAATGATATGTTTTTCCTAGTGTATGTAATTTCTAAATATTTTCATCTCTATAATCTCACTTTGGTGCATGTTTGGTATGCAATATTTAAAACAATTACACTATTATGAGATTCAAATGCAAGATAAAACATCAATATGAAAAATCAAATCCAGTTATTCATTCTCATTAAATTTTCAAGAATCAAGTTCAACTAGTTCATGTCAGCCGTCATGCTGAAACAGGAGAAAAATAAATATCCAAAACTTGATGATCTAAACTGCTGAAGTTTAACAATATGAGAAAGCAAAAACAAGAATTAGTCTTAATGCTAAAACTACACTGAATATCTCGGTATGATGTTGTTAAAATAGTTAGTGATTATGGACATGGTAGATTTTCCAGTGACGAAAAGAAGTTGCAAGTTGAGTAAATGGAAGCAGCAGCAGCCATAACGGCTAAATCCCTCTCTGAGTTATCGGCTTCTCCTAATCTGCAGCAAAATATACGACAAACTAGTTTTAAGAACTCAATAATAAATGCTATGCAGGATATATTATTCATTTCCACAAAAAAAGTAAAAATGCAATCAGAACATGCAGGTAGACTGCTTGCATACAAATGTAAACTAAACCACCATGTAAATGTTTACTAAACTACCATTACCAAAGTTTTGAAATAATATGGTGCTTGAATATAATGTAAATATCTAAGTACGAATTGAGCTCTAATGTAGCACAGAGAGATTATCAACAGCTTAGGTATAACACAAGATATGGAGCTGAAGTATTTCATGAATCCAAGATATTAATAAATACGGGGAACTTTAAAAATCACACGTTCTTTCATAGAAATTTCCAATGCTATTCTCTATACAAACCCCTGTAATACTTCACTACCATATATATAATTATGCAGCATTTTTAGGAGTGCAACTTAGGAAATCAACATTTTCTTATTTTAGAACTTGTGTTACTTTGGTTTAGCAGCAAGCACAAGTATTAATCTTTTGGGCACGTTGCCATTATAATTTTTGTCTCTTTAAAATGTTTCTCTCATCACAATAGTAGCAGCATTTATTCTTCTTGTTATTTAATTTTGATAGTTTGACTTGGGCTGTCTTCCCACGTGACGCGCATTTCTTGTTCTTAAACTTCAGTAAATTTACTCGAAAAAGAGGCCAAACGGATCATCAAAAAGACATCCATACAACTTTCTTTCTTTCTTTTTTTAATACATACGACTTGGGTGAAAAACCATACAAACAGAGAAGAAAGTTGCTAGATAAAATAAATTTACTCGACTATTTTATTAGATTAAGATTAAGTACTTTAGCAATGAATTCAAACAATTTAAGCTAGCATAATTTAATTATGCTGAAATTTAAAACTTACAAATATAATCCACGCATGTTCTTCAGTGCAACAGCTTTGCCAAATTAAAAGAAAATGAAGAATTTATTTTACAAAGAATTGATTACAAAAGAGGGCACTTGGAATTTAAAACTGAAAATTAAAAGCTCAAATAAATTTCTCCCTACAAACTATTACAATGAATTTAGATACAAACAAAGAACTGTTCAGACTTCAAAATTTTATTTTGAATTCCGAAAAAGTAGGAAAATACGATAAGATATTTATCATCCTTGGTTCCTCCTTTTTCAAAGGTGTCAGGATATAAGTGTCCTTGAATTTCTACTTTCTCAAAGCATTTTTCTTTTGGTGCAAGAATTATTGTCTTTGCTATGTCTTTTACAAGAATTATTTTCCTTCTTCACTTTCTTTTTTCATCTTACTTTTGAGGTAAATTCACGTAATTATTCTTGTGTGAATTCGTCATTTTTGCCATCATGGTAAAGATTGTGAATCCCATGTTTGTTTCCATATCTTCATTGTTATAGAAGTCATTTGAAATATTATTTCTTGAGGATATTGATATTCCTTCCTCTCGTGAAGAGAAGGCAACATTAATCTTCTTAGATATCATTTTGCGAAGTCATTTTTTCAAATTTTCTGGGGTTTCACCCTTTAAGCTTGATTCAGCCATTTTAATGACATTTTCAAAGGCCAAGTCAACATTTCCTTCACGCTTACTTTCAGCGAGCTGTTGGTGCCTTTTGATATCATCTAGTATGTTTTTAACTACTGGTTCATGTTCATACTTGTTTCACTGAAGGTAGAAAACGTTTCCAATAATTGGGGAGTTTCACCCGACATGAAGCAGAATTCCCACTTCTAAATCTAAGGAATAAAATATTCCTCAAGCATGATTAACAAAATTTTATTCTAATTAAGATTTTTATCCTTTATCAAATAAGGTTAACTTGAGAAAATTGATATAAGAGTTTTTAACTCTTTAGGAAAGATATCCATAGCTGGGCAGAATCTTTTCCACCAAACAAGAAACCAAGTGGGAGGTTCCCTTTTAATGAAATTTATAAAACATATTTATATAATCCCAGAGAGTAAATTTAATGGATGTCTCTTCTTTCACGGGGTTACCCTTTCTATCAAAAGTTTTAATCTGTATGTTTACAAATCTAATTTTATTGGGATTTAATCCTCATTTAATTCTTTCACGGGGTCACCTTTTATGAGTTGATGAATACTATTAGCCTCTATTTGACACCCTTTAAAACAGAACAATTTATTTCTCCTGCAAAAATAATTACGTGAATGTACTTTGAAAGAGAGAGGAAAAAAGAAGATTGAAAGAGGACAATAATTCTTGCAAAAAACATAGCAAGGACAATAATTCTTGTAACAAAAGAAAAATGCTTTGAAAAAACATTAATACAAGGACAATTATATCCTGGCACCTCTGAAAAATGAGAAACCAAAGACGATAAGAATCTTATCGTATTTTCCTACTTTTTCGGAATTATTTTGAAGTCCGAACAGCTATTTGTATGTGTATAAATTCATTCTTGTACTAGTTTTTAGGCAGAACGTTCTTAAGCTTTCAATTTTCAGTTTTAAATTCCAAGTGCCCTCTATTGTAATTGATCCCTTATACAGATAAATTCTTCATATATATAAGCCCTTTTAATTTGGCAAAGCTTGTGTACTGAAGAACAAGCATGTATTATACTAGTAAGTTCTAAATTTCAGCATAATTAAATTATGCTAGCTTAAATTGTTTGAATTCATTGCTAAAGTACTTCATCTTAATCTGATAAAATGATGCATTTCTTGTTCTTAAACTTCAATAAATTTACTCTGAAATGTTTGTTCATCGGGATCATTTATAATGGCATATTGCAATTTCTTCAACTTCCTTGATTTGTTAATGCAAATTAAAAATCAGTGTAAAAGGTAATTTCCCGAAGCATATAATGTGAAGTATTATCAGGCCCTGTATAGAGAGATGTTTGTAAACTTCTGCTAAATCCAATATTGTCAAGGTTGACTCATATTTTGGCTATGTCTCATGCAAGTTACAAGATTGCATAATTTCTAGTTTCTATTGAGCAAAAAGAGAGAACGTGACAGTTCATTTAAGTTATAATTGTTTGTGCTTTTCTAAATACGCCTAGAGTTTAAGAGTTGAAATGTATTAGTAATTACGATTTAAAGTATCTACGGACTTCTAGAAATGCTAAAACGCCTAGCATAACAAAGTACACAAGTTAATGAGTCTACCTCGTGAGGCACATAACTTGCTGCAAATAAAAGTGTAATTAAATTTACCTGCAGGCATTTCCTATAGAACCAGTCTGCTGCAAAGTACGGGGCCCATCGCTTTTGTAAAGACCCCATTCACAATGCAACTGCATTTCCTTTACTTGTTTCAGCCAACTTTCCTGATAATTTTGAAAAATACACTGTTCAATTGTGCTTGCTTTGGATGTGGTAAA